CCCCCCCCCCCCCCGATGTCCCTGATCACAGACCATTGCTGGAAGACATGGTTCAAAGCATGGGGAAAGAAAATAGCTGAAGCTGTTTAAAATATTTTGAAGTTACAAATTATCTGGGCTTTGGCTTTATTGTAAAATCAATCTCATCAACTCTTATTTCAGAAGAGTTATGTTGGACTTGGTTCCTGACCAATACCCATTTTTTAAAATTTAAAATGAGAGCGTTTAGTTTTTGACAGGTAACAGCCATTCACAAATTTGAATGTCATTTTCAAAGTATTGGCTTCTAGAAATCAATGGAAATTGATCTGAATGTATTGACAAAAAGCATTGTGGGGTGGGGAAGGGGATCTGCAGAATAGGATTACATACAATTATTGTAAAGCAAGAGCCTAAATACCATCTAAGCCAGCACTTGTTTTTAACTTTTCTTTCTTCGTTTGCCACTAGCAATGTTTTGGTTTACATGAATTCTGCTTGTTGGTACTGCTTTCGTCTACTATTACCACATCTTGTAACTGGGAAGAATGCAGGGAGTTAAATTTATTATTAGGTGGACTAGAGCATCTTAGACTTAATATTTTTCATAGACTGATTTTAATTACTTCTGTTTCCTGTACCTTATTATGTATATATGTTGTACACTAATATTCTTTTATAGGTTGCAGATGAAGAAGATCTAAAGAAACTGAGAAAACTTCATGACTTTGTGTACAATCAAGCCTGCCGCTGGTTCCGAAGCTTAAGGAACAAATTTCGCACCCAAATCCTTCAGCACTTTGGGCCAATGCCAGACAGGGAGGAAAACATACAGGTAAGCCAAGGCTTTGGCATCAGTTACACATTTGTTACTTCTAAAAATCCTAACTGATTAGTTGTTAAATTGGACAAAACAGCTTTATAGAATTTTCCTTTCAGGAAGAACTAGTACCACCGGCTTCTAGTTCTGTCCATGTCAGCAGCAACAGAAGATGATTGTACTGAATTTACTTTTTGTGCTGTGTATGGACCTATTGCTGATGTGAAATGGGTGATCATGCATTTTAAAAAAAAACTAAGTTAAATTAAAACATGATCATATTTCTTTTGAATAATTTAAACTACTGGTCAAATAGGATTGTCTGTATACTGTACCTATTCCTTTTTATTACTGATCAGACGTTGGCCATAAATACAGTATCCCGATCTTTTGCATACACACAGTGGTAGCAGTCTTTGTTATATGGCTACATCATTTGTGTATATTTTTATAGCTACATGATTTGTAAAAACTTGTGTATGCAAAAAAATGTAGATTTCTCTTACAAATGCAAACTGTCCCTCTGAATAAAAGCAGGACCTAAGTCTAGCTGCAAACTTAGCCTTTAAAGAATGCTGCAGCTTAGTCATTGTTGTTTTTTGTTACTGAATTCTCTCATGCTGCTTTACATTGACAGTGATTGTTTAATTTATAGATGTTCTTTAAATGCTGCTTGAGGTCTCTTGCACTAGTACTCATTTTCTAGCCTGCAGCTTCTTCAAAATTCACTTTGACTATTTGGTATAAAAACATCATTATTTTGAGTCAACAATATTTAACTACTTTATATAACGTGTTGAAATGACATATTACATTTGGAGAAAGGTCCAAATAGCTCCTATAATGGAAACTCCATTTCTAGAGGCTTTTATTATTTTATATAGTGCCATAAATGTAAATGACTCTCAACAAGAGTCACTTTCCTGATCTTCAGAACTTACAATCTGATGCATAGAATACTCATTCTGACAGTGCTTGCTGGTGAAAACACTGAAGAAGAGTTTCATATAAATAATGAGTTTTGAGATCTCACAGTTGGTGGATAGGACACCCAACACCCTTCCAGTTAACACTAAAGAGAGTTGAAGAAGCTGGAGGAATAATGGCAGTTAACATGATTTCTTTTTAATCTATGCAAAAGTTTTGTAGGTGAATATGGAGCTTGAATTCAACATAGAATTAAACAGGAATGTAAAAAGATTAAAACATTTGAATAAAGTTGTAACCCTCCTCTTCCACTGCTTCCCTTGGGTCCCTTGGGAAGCAGTGGAAGAGGAAGTTTACAACTTTAATTTATTACTTATCACATCATAAGAGTTGCTACAAATCACCAAATCAAGAGCAGGTGGATGATATACACATCCAGTGGACAAACCCTGTTGAAATTGTAGATTGTAATTATCCGGGCATTTGTTGCAAGTGCAATATGGTGACAGATGCCATGCTGGGAACAACTTCCATAAAATGGTAGAAGTAACATGAGGAAACAGCTCTCAGATTTGATTCCAACTACCATGTTTACCCAGTCCAAGATGACTGAATTTAAAACAACCACCAATGTAAATTTGTTATAATTTCCCAGGTATAGAAGACAATTAGTGAAAGGTTACCTTAAGCTTTCCCAACCCCCTCCACTGCTGCAGGGGGATAGGTGAGCTTGCAGCATCCCCCCCACCAACACTTCCCATCCTGCTGTCTGATGGGAGTGGCTAAGCTGTGGCACAGGTGCTACAAATGGTATAGGTAACCTCTGTGTGGCAAGTGGCAGAACAAACGGGACGGGCATCATATTGACAGACAAGGCAGGTAGCAGAAAAAGCAGAGCAGCAGATCAGGAAGAAGATTGGATTGGCAATTGGTGGTGAGGGTGCAGGGCTAATTTGTGGCATAACTGCCTAAAAGATTGGCCCCTGCTGACTAGGAGGCAAGAGATGTGGGCTTGAATCTCCACAGGGGGACCTAGTAAGTGTGACGTGTCCAGGCAAGTGCTTTTACATAAAAGTTGAGTTCCACTGGTCGTTATTTTCAAGCGACAATGGCTGAGTGCTATGCTTCTTAGGAACTCTACTTTTAGTATATGTTAAACATCTTCATCCTTGGTGCTCTGTGCTCCAAGGGATTGAGGTACAGGAAATGTAAGTGCCAAAACACTAAGGAGAGGTAAGAGTTCAGACACATCTGTGCTTAGTGTTATCTTGTTGCTTAGGTCAGGGGCATCCTACAGCCCACAAATATGGATTGTTGACTCAATACATCACAAAGGCTTGATCAAGTGATATCTAGTTGATATTTTGATAATAGTTAGAAATACTGCAATTACCTTCAGGAGCACAGTATAGATTTTTGATACTCAAGGGTTTTCAATTTTTTCCAAAACCTTTTTAGTAGGTTTAGGCTACTGTGTTAGAACTCAGTGCCATCCGACCAACCAAAACCCCTCCTACCTCAGAACCCAATATACTGCTCTGGTCAAAGTTCAGTGGTGTGCAGACACTTTTAATAGTGATATCAAGATCTTGATCTATAAGTTGCAACTGAAAATATGTTTGTCAGACCTGGGAAGCCTGTACTCAGAGCATGAGGATTGGGAATAAAATGGGCGCTTCTCTAAAGCCATTTCATTGCACCAGTCTGCTGTATTTCTGTTTACTCTGTACACTTGGGATGGACTTTTGGAGCATGAATTGTTTTTATCTGACATCAGAGTATTGAATCGGACACAAGTGACATCACCCAAGTTGAGCTTCAGGTTCATTCCCTAATTCTGTGACTCTTAAACCATCTTTAGATTCTTCTATCGTGTGCAATTTTATCTGTGTACTAAGAGAGACCACCTAAGGGACTTAACAGTGCACTGAAATCATTGCAGTAGAGCAGGACTGTCCAACTTCTAAGCAGCTGGGGGCTGTACACTGTGTAGACCACACTAGCAGGGTTGTGGGCCCCCAGGCTGCATCCCCCCAAACCACCACAGCACCATGTACCTGCATGGGCACCCCCACTTATTGAACAGAGCACCCATACAGCCCTGGGCTCGCCCTCAGCTCCTTGTGCTGCCCTGCCCTATGCCCTGGGGCCAGTGCAGAAAAGCAGAGACCAGAGAACATAGTGAGAGGCTATAGAGTCCAGATGCTGTTGCAGTTGGAATAATGGCAGCCAGGTAGAAGCCTACTAATCACAACTTAACCCCTCGCAGGCTGCATGAAGCCTGTAGGCCACCAGCTGGGCAGCCCTTCAGTTGAGTAACTGTTCATTATTCTGTAATTATTCTTAGTTTGTTTCATGTTTGTATTATGTACTAAAAAGCTACTGTCAGTATTTAAATCCTGTTTTGATTGGTGTCTACATACCTAATTCCTTCTGGGAAGAGCAGACCAAGACTAATTTTGACTACAGCAAACTGATACAGAAGTTGCTTTTTACTTAATTTTTGGTTTGTATGCATAGCCATAGAACAGGGGTCAGCAACCTATGGCTCAGGAAGACAGTGGATCTGACCCACAGCAGCTCAGTGAATCAACTGCATGCTCTAGCCTGAGCAGCAGAAAGTCCTGTGGTCTGCCAAATTGTTTATGGTCACTGCCACAGCAGAGAAGGCACCCCCAGGGTCTTGGCACCTGGGGGGGGGGGTTCTTACTTTTCCTCATAGCATTTACTGATTGCTGGGGACTTTTGGGATGCAGCCCATGGCGGGGGCTGGGTCTCAAGTGGTGGCCTTTGGTGCAGAAATGGTTGCTAGCTCCTGCTGTATAGGAAACATTAGTTCTAAACACAGGAAATGTGTTTAATGCAATCCTAAAAGGTGGATTCTTAATTACAGCCCTTAATAATCTTTGTTAAACAACCTTGGCTATAATGACACAGCAAGGCAGTGGTATATTATACGATTTTAAATAAGTGTCGTTCATGAGGTAGGAAAATAACTGTCATTAACAGGAACAAAGGGGCTTTCAATTGCTGAGTGTTGCTTATGTGACTCAGTAATATGTACTGTATGAGTATGAAGTGCCACAGTTACCAAGTGAGCTGCCTTGTCTTCTAGAACTCAGCTGCTTTTGTGTTTTGGGCTTCTTGTTGCCACCTGACTCCAGATAGCAGCTCATGATTCTTACATGGACTTTTACTATAGTCTCCCTTGTATCAATGCTATTACATTATTAGCACTGGGATCAGCAGCCTGTGGGCTGGATCTATCCCACAGCCATTTCATCTGACCCATGGTTTTGGAGCTTTTGCACCTGTCACTTTTTCTCGTGCCACTTGAGGGAGAAGTATTGACTGCAGTCACTCTCCCTGTGAGGCAGGGGTAGGGAACAGCAGTGGTGGCTGGGTCCTAGCACCTGCCTGTCCATCTCTGACTTGAACTGGGTCACTTTGGTGTGCAACTTAAACAGATTGTTGACTGCTGGCTTTGGGGCTCTGGATCAGGCTTTTGGAGGTGTCTAACTCTTCCCCATTCACTGTATAGGGATCCTAGGCACCCTACCCTGTTGATGTTGCATAGCCTCCTTAGGGTAAGATTAGGGATGCACCAATTCAAGTGTTTTGTTTTGTTTTTGGCTGATAGTGATGGCCGATTTATTAACTGGCCATATCAGCTGATACCAGTCCGATAGCCATTATGCAGCCTGGCAGTTTAGAGAGCAGCGTCCAGCCAGTAAGACTGTGGAGGAAGGGCGCGGGGTCAGGAAATGGCGTTGGGGAGGCAGATCAAGGCCCCCATGGTGAGGGAGGCAATGAGGCTGTAGTAGAGGAAGGGGCAGGTGCAGCAGGGGTGAGGTGCAGGACAGCCATGTGTGGTTTGTCCAGGATGCACAGGTAGGTGGGGTGGGCATGGCTCCCTGATCCTGCGTGCACCCCCAAGGGAGTTATGGGAGGCATGTGCCCCCTGGATTTGTGCATGGGGTGAGTGTGGGCTGCCTGCTGCAGACCGGAGTCAGGTGCTGCTCTGGCCTCTTCCTGGCAGGGGGGCAGGGCCAGTGCTGTGCTTAGGGTGGGCTGGCAGCGCTAGGCAGGATGGCTACAGCAAATTTTGGGGTGGCTATAGCCAATCTCATAGCCACCCAGTGCTGCTGCTGCCTGCCCTAAGCAAAGCCCCAGCCTGGCCCCCACCTCCCCCGCTCAGTTCCTTGCCCTGCCCTGGCTGGGCAGCACCTGCTTCTGCCCCCACCCCAGCCCCACTCTCTCCCTCACTGTGGGGGCCTCAATCTACTCCCTTCCTTCCCCCCAGGCTTACTGGCCAGATGCTGCTTTCCAAGCTACCAGGCTGCATTCCTGGCTGCACACACTGAAAAATGCTGACATTATTAGCAAAAAAAAAAAAAAAAACTGATTACCGATAATGTCCATTTTCCTTTGATCAGTGTTGATCCAATATGGACTGATATATTTGTGCACCTCTAAGTAGGGTGGCTCTTTTATTTGTGTGAGGATATTTACATGATGGTAACTGAAAATAATGTAATCTGATTAGCTTGGTTAGGTCCACATCTTAAAAGAGTCTTTTGGCCTATTAGCCTTATGCTCAGTTTCTTATCTAGTAATCTAATTTTTTTTTGTTTTATTTTCAGGCAACACCTAATGGACCTGCATGGTGTTGGTGGCTTCTAGCTGTCCTCCCTGTAGACCCCAGATATCAGCTGTCAGTTCTGTCTATGATGTCTTTGAGAGAACGCCTGATCAAAATCCAACATATACTCACATATTTTTCTAGAGACCAATCCAAGTGACTAACTGCCTGGATCTTCCTGAAGAGTTACTCTGTTCTGGTTGTAATAACAGCTGGAATTTTTGCTGCCTTTGCACATCTTGCGCTGGTTTGAGAAGTATAACAAAACTGCTTTTCCCCCTCCCCTTCTCGCCACCTCCTTCCAGCATGGAAATTATACAGTTCTGATCCATTGTGGCAGCAAAGAATTCACATAAAGAAGCAGCAGGCTAGACAGGAAACTTTCAAAATGCCATAACTCATAGGAAAATTGCACACAGTTGTGTTCACTGCACGTGCCTATGTCCTGAAGAGGTAAAACCCTCTTGGAAGTCAGTAGGAGTTTGGCTTCAATGGCCTGTACTCTACTGTATGTTTTTAA